AGCACATGAACTAGCTCTGAGTGGAGCTGCTCTGTCTGAGGCGGGCTGGGGACTGCTCCAGTCCCTCCTCAGCATCCCTGGGCCTGAGAGGCCCCACAGTCCCTAGAACTCTGCAGTGCAGTTTGAAAACTACTGAGTTTCTTCCCACCTCTCCTGCACTGCAATTTCTGATTCCCTGACCTGCTGCCCCTCTCCCCAGTGTTGCCAGGCCCCTTGGACAGCACGGATGTGAATGGCCCCAGCCCTTCCTCACTCCCATGTGGAATTGCCTGCTCTTATCCCAGATGTCCCGTAGCCCCTTAACCGTGCAAAGATTCTGATAGAAGATCGGCTACCTACATGGGCTGCCTGAGTTCTGGATTTCTCATTTTCTACCCCCCATTTCCATATGGCACACTTATGTGCACAGGGTGGGTGACCTCTTTACGTCTCCCTGAGAAGAGTTTCTGCTTGATTGATGGAGAAACTGAGGCAGGGTAGTTGAATGAACTACCCAAGATGGCACAACAGCTGCGAGTAGAGCCGCCTCCTGGAACTCTCTTCCTCCCCTTGCCCCAGGTGACAATACAGAGGGAATCCTGTGGGTCAGCTCCCCCAGCTGGGTGGGCTGAGCACCCCAGGAAGGGGACCAGCATGGAAAGCAGGAGATGGCAGAGTGTGTGTGAGGCCTCAGGCTGGGGCAAGCTGTGACCTAGAGGATTAGGGTCGGATGCTGGGTGCTGGCGCGATTAGAGGCTGAGGCAGGTGGGCGGGCCAGCTCCTCTGTGTGCCTGTGTCCTTCTGCTCAAGCTGAATGTGGACGTGGCTGCCCCTCCCGCCAGGACGCTGAGCCCTATTCAGGAGGCAGCTTCCAGGACGCTCCCAGGCTACTGGCTCCCTGCTGGGCCCCTGCAGCCCGTTCACAGCCCACATTCTAACAGCTGCCCTGACCAGCGCCAGAGCAGCCTGGGTCAGGCCATTCATACCCCATCCCGAGCACCTCACTACCAACGTGGGTGAATCCGGGGCACAGAGTGCCTGGGGGAGGGGAGCTTCACAACCAGTGGCATGATATTAACAAGGAAATTGCATTGACAGGGCTTGTTTTCCCAAAAGCTTGAAACCACACTTTAATCTCCCTAACGATCCCGTCTGCCTTAAGCAGGCTGTGAAGGAGGTAGAAGGGGCGGATATGTGCCCAGAGAGGGTCGGCCACATCTCCATCACAGTGGGGTGCTCCCAGGTTTGCAGCAAGTGAACCTGGTCTGATCTCCTAGCCCCAACCCTGGGGAGCTGCTGCCCTGCAAGAGGAAGGTACCCACTTTATAGATGAGGCAACTGTGGCTAAGCAGTTCACTGTAAATTACAAAAACCCTAGTTAGTGGCAGACAGAGGCATGAGGTTTGCCTTGTCCCTTGCTGCCCCTGAGGGAGGGGTGCAGCCTCTTTAGAAGCTCCCAGCTTCCTTCTGGGGCAATGGGACTCACTTCTCTCCTGCTTTCTGGGCACTCACGCTCTCTCTGGCTCTCCCTGGTTCTTTCTCCCTTTGTGTCCCTTTCTGTCTCCCCCACGCCCCACGCCCACTGTCAGCGCCTGTCCTTGCTCTCATCTTCCCAGGGGTGGGGGTCGAAAGGTGTCCTGTGCATTCACGGAGCCCAGGCAGTCAGCCCATTGCTGCCTCCCCTCCCCCAGCCATCCTCTGGGCATCCCCGAGGCCTCATTATTAGGGTAGCGGTGACCCCCCATTGTCTGGCCTGTCTGGCCCTGCCATGAAAGGTAGAGTTTTGGCAGAGAACCGAGGCTCGGCCTGATTCCAGCTTGTTCTCTACTGTCTGGAGCCTGTTACTATGCCCGGGGCAGGGCAGGCAGGCCCTGGTGGGGGGGGTGGGGGCTTGAGGAGCCACAGGGCAGCCCCTGTCACTAGGACAACAGCAGGGAGCCCTGGAGGGGAAGACGAGGGGGAGAGCAGGTGGTTCTTTGTCTGGAGCCTGATCCCAGTACCCCCCCATCACACCCCTACCCACGGCCCTCCCCAGCCTGGAAGGCAGCCCCTGGGAGGGGATTGGTGCCTGCTCCTGGGGCAGGCAAAGCCATTGGGCTCCCTCCCACAGGCCGAGGCAGGAGTGACTGCACAAGCTGTGCCGCTGACCTTGGCCCCCTGCAGCGCCTACTTCGGGGCTTCCCAGGACTACATCTGCTCCTTCTCGTCCCACACCCCCCTCATCTGCCCACCGAGCACAGGAGGGCCAGGCTACTGAGACCCTGTGATGGAGTAGGGTTTGGCCCAGGTGGCTTGCAGAGGTGGGAGGGGTCCCAGGCACCAAGGAAACGGCCCCTCCCTGGCTGCCATTGCCACACCACCCCCTCCAGGCTCCATTCCCTTAGCTGAACAGTGAAGGAGGTCAGAGCTGTTGCTGACCAGGGCTCTTTCCTGCTTTTAAAGATCTCTGCCTATGCTAGGGCTGTGAGACTCCTAAAGCCCCTTCCTCTCTTGGGCCCACATTCACCTCTTTGACCCTTACATTTTGTTTCTGGGCAGCAGAGCTGGCCCTGGAGCTGGAGGTCAGTGGCACCTGTCCATGGCTTAGAGGAGTGCCCGGCCGCCTGGACGTGGAATCCTGGCTCTGCCATTTGCCAGGCAAATCACTTCACCTGTCTAGGCAACTTTTCTGTGCCTCTATTTCCTCATCTGTAAACAGGGACATCGATAGGATCTGCTACGTAGGTTGTTGTAGGGGGTTAAAGACATTATATCCATAAAGTGCTTAGAAGGGTATTTGGCTCTGGGAAAACACTCAGCAAATATTAAGTGTTTTTATTCTTCAGGATGGTTACTGAGCAACGAGTAGGGAAGTTTCCTGAAATACTTGATGTTGTGAACCAGAGAGATGTCATCCCTGAATCCTGGTATTTTGGCTTGAAGGTGGAAGATGTACAGATTTTAAAATATGCCTCGGGGTCAGGTGCGGGGGCTCACGCCTGTAATCCCAGTACCTTGGGAGGCTGAGGCAGGAGGATTGCTTGAGTGATCGAGATCAGCCTGGGCAACACAGAACCCATTGCTACAAAAAAATCTTTAAAAATTTAAAAACTAGCTGGTTGTGGTGGCACACCACTGTGGTCCCAGCTACTTGAGAGGCTGAGGTGGGAGGATTGCTTGAGCCCAGGAGGTCGAGGCTACAGTGAGCTATCATGGCACCACTTCACTCCAGCCTGGGTGATGGAGCAAGATCCTGTCTAAAACAAAACAAAGCAACAGACCTCATTGGAGACATATGTCCTTGTTGAATTCTGGGGAGAATTGAAATGGCCCATGACTGGGACTCCTGACTGTGGCTCTTGGAGTGTCTCAGAAATGCTGCACACAGAATCCACTTTCCTAAAATAGCCTTCATTGGCCATCTAGAAAAAGGGGGAAACATGGGTTTGGTATTCCAGACTCCCTCGTCTCACACACACACACTCCAATGTCTGTTTGCCTTTTAAACAACTCACAGCCACATCTCCAGGATGCAGGGGGAGTCTTATGTAGGGAGGCATCTGGTGAACAGGAAAGCTCCTGGCACCCAGGAGATGCCTGGTGTTAAAAGTGTTGCCGTGGGCCTTGGGTGGGTTCCATGAGGAAAGAGAGACAGAAATGATAAGGTCTCCGGGAGAGGTGACTGAGAGCCTGCCTTTTCTAAGTGAACCGATGAGGCTTTTCATAGAAAATCAGTGCCTGTCTGTTCATCTGAACACCCACTATTTATTTATCCAACAAATCTTGATTGAGTGCTGATAATGCCAGGCTCTGTGCTAAGCACCGGGTAAGTTTTGATACCGACCTGCGAGGCGCCGCGATCCAAGGAGGAGGCAAAAGCAGAGAGACACCAGTGTGGGCTGGAGGCCCAGAGATCTGGACAGAGCAGGGGTGCAGTGAGAACAGGCCATGCCTGGGGGAGCTTCCAAGAGAAGGGGACATCTGAGCAGTCAGGAAGGGTGAGTCGGAGTCTCCCAGGGAGATAAAGGAAGAAAGGAAATCCCAGGCAGAGGGACCCACATGTGCAAAACTGCAAACAATAAAAGCACAGTGTAAAACACATAGATGCGCAACTCATACTCAGGCGTGTGCGCAGACACCCTGCAAAACAATATGAAAACCAGAGCAGAGTGTCTCGGCCAGCCAGTCTTGCCTGCCTGGGTGTGTGGGAGGGGCTGTGAGAGGGCGACCAGGGGCAGAAGGACTTGCAAGGCGGTGCTTCTTGCTCCCCAGGGCCCTCTGGCATCCCCCTGGACTCCCTTTGGCCCCATCCCCTTTCCCTTTGCCAGTCACAGCTGAAACGTCCTCCTCCTGCTGTCCTCTCCCCTGCCCAGGCCCCAGAAGTTTCTCATCTTCCTGGCTCTTTGTTCGCACTTCCCTCTCCATGGTGAGAGGAGGCAGTTTGACTCTGAGCCTCAGTTTTCTTTTTTTTTTTTTTTTTTTTTTTTGAGACGGAGTTTCGCTCTTGTTACCCAGGCTGGAGTGCAATGGCACGATCTCGGCTCACCGCAACCTCCGCCTCCTGGGTTCAAGCAATTCTCCTGCCTCAGCCTCCTGAGTAGCTGGGATTACAGGCATGCGCCACTATGCCCAGCTAATTTTTTGTATTTTTAGTAGAGACGGGGTTTCACCACGTTGACCAGGATGGTCTCGATCTCTCGACCTCGTGATCCACCCGCCTCGGCCTCCCAAAGTGCTGGGATTACAGGCTTGAGCCACCGCGCCCGGCCGGAGCCTCAGTTTTCTTAACCACACGAGATGGTTGCATTGGGTGATCCTGAAGGTCCACAGGTCCTCTAGGGTTCTAAGTGATTGTCATGCCTATCTAGATGTTTCCGGGGTATGGGGGAAGGGCCTTGGAAACTCGAAGACACTGCCTGGGCCTCTGTTGGCCAGGGGATGGGGACTGAGGCTAGTGAGAATGGTGGTGATCGGGGCACCCACATCAGTGTGAAGAGGAGGTGGTGCCCTGCTGACCCCGCTGCTGTCTGCTTTTCCCTCAGTGTGACCCTGGGAACACGGGCTACATCAGCACGGGCAAGTTCCGGAGCCTTCTGGAGAGCCACAGCTCCAAGCTGGACCCGCATAAAAGGGAGGTGCTCCTGGCCCTCGCCGACAGCCATGCGGACGGGCAGATCTGCTACCAGGATTTTGTCAACTTGGTGAGTACTCTGGGGGCCCTCGCTACTGGAAGGGACCTATTTGAAGGTTGCAGCTTCCACATATTTAAGGATTTAGGCAATTAAAAGGATCTCTTGGCCTGCAGCATGGAAAATGTGCAGGCTTCTGCAGGTGAAAGGACACCACCCAGGGCCCGTTTTCTCTTTGTCTCTAGGCTCTGCCCTCTGCGGTGCCAGCCCATCCTCAAAGCAGCGCCTGGCAATTTCAGACCCTCCCATTGTGGCAGCAAAGTGTCTGCAGCTGTTGCAGCTCTCATACCCTCAGGCTGCACCTTGCAGAAGAGGGGACACACACACACACACACACACACACACACACACACACACACAAACGCGCACACACACACACACACACACACACACACACACACACAGTGATTGAAATGGATCCTTCTTGTGGTAGCTCTTGCACAAGGCCTGGGATTTTCTCCCTCCCATTGGCCTAAATTGGGCAGTAGAATGGGTAGATTGACTTAAACCTATCATTGCCCCACCCCTGGAGCTGAGAGTAGGGTCAATTCCACCAAAATGAAGGGCTAGGAGTAGATAGGGTCTTGGTGGCAGGAGAAGGGGCTGGGCAGTGGGGGCCAGGAGGGTCAGCGCAGCACGTGGTAGAGCCAGAGCTCAGCAGATGTGCTCAGCAGATGTGCTCAGCAGATGCCCTGGGCTGCCAAAGGGGCTGGAGAAGGGAGGCCCATGAGTCCTGCCCAGCAGCCTGGTTATCTCAGAGCAGAGAGTCCCCACTCACTAAGGGTTAATGCTGTGCTATTTCAGTGTCTACTGTGGACTGGGGTTTAGCGGGGTTAAGCAGAGAGTATTTTACCCACCACGGGATGCAGATGACATCAGTAGAAGCTGTGTGAACAAGCAGGATGAATACAAAACCCAGAGTTTTTCGCTGGGTTTCCCTATTGGTGAGGTGGAGCTGGTTACCTCTCTTCATGGCACCCATGGAGGGAGCAAGAGTGAAATGACTTGTATGAAGCGCCCCAGGCTCCTGGAATTCAAAGGCACCAGGGACGGGGGAGCTGCCACCACTTGAGCCTGTCCTTGGGCCTCACCAATGCTCTGATGTGGATGCCCAGGCAGGAGAGATGTTTCAACAGCCTCTTAGCTGAGGGCCAGCCTTGGCCTGGGGATTGGCATGTAATTATAGGGAGCTGCTGTGGGGCTTTTGGGAGTGGAGGAATCTACTGCTGTTCAGAGTGGTGCCAGGGAGTAGACCTCATGGAGGGCAAGGGACAGAACTGAGCTGAGCAGGGAGGAGCACAGTCAGGATTCATAGGATGGGTGGTGGGGGGTGAGTCCTGGGACTTGGAGCCCAGTATGGCCACCAAAGCCCAGACCAAGGGTTTGAGCTGCCCAGGCCCATCCGTAGCCCCAGCGCCTGTGTGTTGGCTGCAAGAGGCTCTGCTTGGCCATAGGGCAGAGTAGGGCATGCGGCGCCCATGAGTGGCTTCTCTCCAGCCAGGGGTCAGTGGAGCCTCTGTCTGAGCTCAGGACAGCAATTACTTGTTACTGCTGGGATTTCCGTGTTCAAATTCTGCACTGGATCTGTATGAGCTAGGGCTGCCGTGGAGAGCAGACAAAGAAGAAGGAACTCAGCAGGGGGAAGCTCTCAGTAGGGCAGAGAGCTGAGGACCTGGAGTCTAGCAAACCCAGGTCCTGGTCTGGCTCTGCCTTTGCCGCTCACTGGGAAAGAGCCTCTGAACCTGGCTTTTCCCGTTTGTAAAACGAAGCCAAAGGATCCCCTCTTTAGGGCTGTTGCAAGGATCAGATAAAGTATTTGAATGTTTTTGATGTCTCTTAATGGTCTTCATCAGGTAAACTCCTCTGCATCCTTTGTGAGCCTTTACCTGCCAGTCCAGGCAGAGTGAGACAGCCTTTTTCAGAGCCCCCGCAGTGCCTTGCCCAGGCTTCTCTCGCAGTACAAACCACCACACTGCGTTACAGCTGAGCAGCCCAGGTAGTCCTGTATGGGTGTGCAGGTTGTATACTGAACAAGGGTGCCTGGCTGAGGGAGGATGGAGACTGAAATCTGGCCTGGACTTTGCCCACCAAGGCCTGGCATGGGTGCACCCATCCGGAAGAGACTCCTTTATCTAATTGGCACAACAGCTCCGAATGGGCTAGCATGGACTCTGGAGTCAGGCAGCCTGGATTTACGTCCTGACTTTGTGGTTTACTAAGTAGGAGTCCTCGGGGAAATTACTCACCCTCTCCAAGCTTCAGTTCCCCTATTTGTAATGTCGGAATAGTATGGGGCGCCAAATAACTACAATGGCACCCTCTCTTGCTGTTTATACACTTCTATCTCCCCTCGTAAGCTCCATGAGGCCGAGAGCATGGTCACGACTGTGCCCAGCACGGCGCTGGGCATGTGAAGGATGCTGGTGGATGGTGAGTGTGTACTCCTGCTGAGCCAGCTCCCACCACAGGTCTTCAGGGCCTCTGGGCCCTGTGTGTGTGTGAGTGTGAGCTGTGTGGTCTGCAGGCCCCTGTGCATGTGCATCCTCAGGGACTGGGAGAGGGACAGGTAAGTGCGGCCACAAGTGGCTGGGCACGGTGGCTCATGCCTGTAATTCCAGCACTTTGGGAGGCTGAGGCGGGTGGATCACGAGTTCAAGAGATGGAGACCATCCTGGTCAACATGGTGAAACCCCGTCTCTACTAAAAATACAAAAAATGAGCTGGACATGGTGATGCGTGCCTGGAATCCCAGCTACTCAGGAGGCTGAGGCAGGAGAATTGCCTGAACCCAGGAGGCGGAAGTTGCAGTGAGCCGAGATCGAGCCATTGCACTCTAGCCTGGGTAACAAGAGCAAAAAAACTCGTCTCAAAAAAAAAAAAAAAGAGTGGCCACAAAATAATCTGACAACGCGATTCTGTCTTGGGCTTGCAATGTGCACAAGGACCCTAACCCTGGCGTACATTTACAGAGCTCCTGGGCCATTGAGAAGAACCAGATCCAAGCTTTGTAAGCATGGAGAGGATGGGGATAGGGAATGGTTGGAAAGGGTTCATCTGGGAAGACCTGCTGGCGGGGGGCGAGCTTTAAGCTAGATTTTGACAGTGAGCGACAGCAGAGCTCAGGAATGCAAGGGTGGAGGACCATGCTGATGGATGTTCATACCTCCTGGCCTGGTCTGAACCTAGATGCTCCCCAGCCACCTGCCCTCTGACAGGGCCTCCAAACCCTGTGCCATGAACTAGCCTGGTTCACCTCACCAGCCTATTGGGCTCCTGCCTTCGGGGTTAGCCCGATGTCCACTGCTGGGCCCAGAGTCCCAGAAATACATTGATAATCCCCACACCAGCAACTATGGGACAGCTGAGATGTGGGGTGGGGAGAGCCATGTCTCTAGGATTTCTCTCCATAAGAAGGTCTAGAGTTGGCCATGGAGAGCAGGTAGGAGGTAACAGAGGCCTTGGGAGGCCAGGAGTCAGCAGGGCCACCTCCAGTCTCGGAGCCAGGCTGACCACTGAGCAGGGCTGCCACAGCTCTACCCAGGATGTGTCAGGGCAGCCTCAGGCCACTGAGGGTAGAGCCGGTCCCCAGGCGGAGCTTTGCAGCTAGTCCTTGGACTTGCTGGGTGCCACAGGTCTTGTGAAGGCCCTCAGGAGTGGTGACCTTCCCCAGGCACAGCTTGGGTTTTGGCTCTGGGGGCCTTTCTGCAAACCCATCTAACCAAGGGCTGTCTGCCTCTTCCCAAGATAGTATGTCTGAGGGTGCTACCTCCTGCTCATCCGTTGATTCTCACTCAGACTTCACCTCCTCCAGGAAGCCTTCCTTGACCCGCCTTGGGACTGGATTGGGCTCCCTCTTGTGTATTCCTCTACAGCAGCCTTAACTCTGAGCTGCGGTTGCTGGCTACTTATCTGTCTTGAGCACCACCGTATCCCTCCCTGTGCCTGGTAATGAGCCTGACACTTAGTAGTTGCTCAATAAATAGTGATGGACAGATGATGAATGAGTGGATGAAGGAAAGTATTGCAACCACAAATACAGGCTCTGGTGCCTTACTGGGTGTGAACTTGATGGATTCTAAAGCTCTCTGTGCCTCGTTTTTCTAATCCAACAGAATGGGGATGTTTATAGTCCTTATCTAATGGGAAGACTGGTGATCATCAAATGAGCCAAAAGACATGAAGGGCTGAGACTAACCCCTGACACCTAACAAAAGCTTGGTGAATGTTGCTTCTTATTAACTATTATGGGAGAAAGGGAAATGCGAGGTCAGGCCTGGTGTGAGGAACGTGCTGGCTGGGAAGGCGGTGGGGCCTCCGCTGGGTCCCAGCTCTTACTCTCTCCCCATTCCTTTCCTGCACAGATGAGCAACAAACGTTCCAACAGCTTCCGCCAAGCCATCCTGCAGGGCAACCGCAGGCTAAGCAGCAAGGCCCTGCTGGAGGAGAAGGGGCTGAGCCTCTCGCAGCGACTCATCCGCCATGTGGCCTATGAGACCCTGCCCCGGGAGATTGACCGCAAGTGGTACTACGACAGCTACACCTGCTGCCCCCCACCCTGGTTCATGATCACAGTCACACTGCTGGAGGCAAGGACGAGGGTGGGGAGGGGGTTACTCTGCCTTGGGGAGTGGCGGGTATGGGGAGAGGAGCCGAGAGGATGACACAGATCAAGGGCGAAGAGGGACATTCTCCTCTATTGAAGAATGGATGAAGGATCAAACAACAGTTGTAGGCCGGGCATGGTAGGTGGCTCATGCCTGTAATCTCAGCGCTTTGGGAGGCTGAGGCAGGCTGAAGACAAGAGGTTGGGAGTTCGAGACCAGGCTGACCAACATGAAGAAACCCCATCTCTACTAAAAATACAAAATTAGCCAGACTGGTAGCTCATGCCTGTAATCCCAGCTACTGGGGAGGCTGAGGCAGGAGAACTGCTTGATCCCAGGAGGCAGAGGTTGCAATGAGCCAAGATCACACCATTGCACTGCAGCCTGGGCAATGAGCGAAACTCTGTCTCAGAATAAATAGGTAAATAAATAAATAAATAAATAATAAGAGTTGTATGGCAAGACAGACTCGGTTGCAGTAGATGCCAGTGTTATAACCCTGGACTGCAAAGAGATATTCCAAAGTTTATTACCTCAAACAATACTGATTACAGCCAAATCCCCATAGGACCACTGCCCCCCACCCACCCCAGAACAACAGCAACAAAAACAATGTCATAATTCCATTGACTTGGGGGATTTAGCCAGGCTGACTCGTTAAAGCCAGTTTATTTAGTTCCTCCTCAGGTGGGTAATGTGGACCAAAGGTAATGTGGACCAGGCATTTGCTCCATTTTCCCACCTGAAAATCGGAAATAACCAGACCTGCCCTCCCTCTCCCGGGACACCTCTATTTAAAGTGAGAGAGTGGCTGTTGGTGCTTTCTGAACACAAAAGCATCAGACAAACACATCTGGGAGGCAGTATGAACAGGTAAATACGGGCTTAACATTTTTAAAGAACATTCTCCCCTTAGGGAATCCTCTGTGCCTATTGTTACGCTAAATTCCATTGCTTATGCAACATCATCCAAAGGTACCGCTTGCTGTGTTAGTGCCCGTGTGTGATGAAACTCAATTCTTTTGGCTCCTCCACTCAGGAACCTGTGCAGCCCACTCTAGCTCCAGCTCCCGAACGATGCTTGGCTTCACTTTGGGATTTTATGATCTCCGCTGTTTCCCTTCCAAAGCCACGGGCCTAATTACCGCCTCTGCATATGTTCTTGTAAAGTTCCTGCCTAATCAAACGGCAGGATCGTTAAGCTTGGCGGCATCCTTCTTTTTTTCTAAATCAGAATATCTGGTCTGCAGGCCAGCGTTCCCTATTTGTTGTTATGGCTTCATCCAAGTACATGTTGAAGTTGTGATTTTTCTGAGATATTCTTGGACTCGTTCTTCAAGCTCATACTGTGTTGGTCTATTTATTAACTTCTATTTGAGGCCCCATAATAACGAGATGCCTTGGAAGCAGGATTTGCTGCCAGGCTACCTGCATGGCGCTAGGTGGACAGAATGGCTCCTCAGAGAGCCCAGGAGAATACAGTTGCCAGGGGCCTAAGCCATTCCCAGGCTGAGTCCACTAATTATAGCTTCCTTCTCTAAGTGTGTGCCGGGCAGAAGACTGGCTTTTTGTGTAGTTTATCACTTTTAAACCTCATGCCACTCTGAAAGTCTAGGCATTGGTACCCTTTCCAGATAAACTGAGGGCCAGAGAATTCAGTTTGCCCAAGTTGATCAAAAGGGGTGGATTTTGTGTCCAGACTGGTTCAGATGAACCTCAGCTATGTGAACTCAAACCACCAATCAAGAAGAAACTGGGAAGTGCTCAAATAGCTGAAGTGACTCCTCAAAACCCTCGTGCTATAAAACCCAAGGCTTTTGTCTTCTATACAGTCCTGGTAACCTGGCTTTCAGATTCCATAATGAATGGCAAATAGGAGGGACATGGTAGGAAGCAATGAAGGGGTCCACTACCAGCAAGCAATAAGAAGTGGTAGCCGGCAGCCTGGCAGTGAAGGAAGAGACAGAAGGAAAGTTTGAAGCAGACCTGAATTTTAAAGAAATACAAGAATTGGCTGGGTGTGGTGGCTCACACCTGTAATGCCAGCACTTTGAGAGGTCAAGGCAGGTGGATCTCTTGAGCCCAAGAGTCTGGACAACAAAGTGAGACTCTGTTTCTACAAAAAAATAAAAAAATCAGCCAGGTATGGTGGTACATGCCTGTGGTCCCAACTACATGGGAGGTTGAGGCCCGAGGATCGCCTCAGCCCAGGAGGTTGAGACTGCGGTGAGCTGTGTCCATGCCATAGCACTCCAGCCTGAGTGACAGAGCAAGACCCTGTCAAAAAAAGAGAAAAGAAAAAAGAATACAAGAATTTGGGGCCTTGGCCAGACGTGGTGGCTCATGCCTGTAAGCCCAGCACTTTGGGAGGCCAAGGTGGGCGCATTACTTGAGGTCAGGAGTTCAAGACCAACCTGACCAAGATGGTGAAGCCCCATCTCTACTGAAAATACAAAAAGTAGCTGGGTGTGGTGGTGGACACCTCTAATCCCAGCTACTCAGGAGGCTGAGGCGGGAGAATCGCTTGAACCTGGTAGGCGGAGATTGCAGTGAACCAAATCATGCCACTGTACTCCATCCTGGGCCACAGAGCAAGACTCTGTCTCAACAAAAGAAAAAAAAAAGAGTTTGGGGCCTTGAGTGTACAAGCAAAAACACTATCCTGGCCAGGCGCGGTGGCTCACGCCTGTAATTCCAGGGCTCTGAGAGGCTGAGGCAGGCGAATCATTGAGGTTAAGAGTTCAAGACCAGCCTGGCCAACATGGGTTTAGCAGAAACCCCATCTCTACTAAAAATACAAAAATTAACCATGCGTGGTGGCAGGTGCCTGTAATCCAAGCCACTCGGAAGGCTGAGGTATGAGACTTCCTTGAACCCGGGAGGCAGAGGTTGTGGTGAGCCGAGATCATGCCACTGTACTCCACCCTGGGTGACAGAGCAAGACCCTGTCTCAAAACAAAACAAAAACAAACAAAAATGCTATCCTCCTGTGGTTGCTCTAGAAAATATCACTCTTATAGCCCAGATCAATACCTGAGATATTCTTAAACAGTTGCGTGTGCCCTGATTAAGAACACAGAGACATAAATGATACATTTTAGAAGGAGTTCCAGAAAAAAAAGAGTGAAGATAAATACCGTTTTAGAGATTAAACAAGTATGCTTCTGTCACCTGTGCAAAGTCAACTGTGGAATGTCGCTGAGATGCAGAGAAATTGGAACCCTTGTACACTGTTGGGAAAGTAAAATGGTGCAGCTGCTATGGAAAATAGTCTGCCATTTCCTCAAAAGATGAAACGCAGAACTACTGTATGATCCAGCAATTCCACTTCTGAATGTATCCCAAAAGAATTGAAAGGGACTGGGCCAGGCGCGGTGGCTCACGCCTGTAATCAGCACTTTGGGAGGCCGAGGCGGGTGGATCACGAGGTCAAGAGATCGAGACCATCCTGGTCAACATGGTGAAACCCCGTCTCTACTAAAAATACAAAAAATTAGCTGGGCATGGTGGTGCGGTCCTATAATCCCTAGAGTAGTCAAATTCATGGAGACGGAAAGGAGAATGGTGGTTGCCAGGGTCTGCAGGGAGCAGGGAATGAGGAGTCATTGTTCAGTGGGTACAGAGCTTCAGTTTTGCAAATTAAGAGTTCTATGGATAGATAGTGATGGTAGCACAGCAACATGAATGTCATTTAGTGCCACTGAACTGATTAAGGCCAGGCACAGTGGCTCACACCTATAATCCCAGCACTTTGGGAGGTTGAGGTGGGCAGGTCACTTGAGGTCAGGAGTTCTAGACCAGCCTGGCCAACATGGTGAAACCCTACCTCTACTAAAGATACAAAAGTCAGCAGGCCCTGGTGGTTCACTCCTGTAATCCCAGATGTTTGGAAGGCTGAGACAGGAGAATGACTTGAACCCAGGCGGCAGAGGTTGCAGTGAGCCAAGATCGTATCATTGCACTTCAGCCTGGGTGACAGAGTGAGAGCCTACCACAAAAATAAAAACCCAAAAAACTGATTAAGATGGTAAATTTTGACTGGACATGGTGGCTCATGCCTGTAATCCCAGCACTTTGGGAGTCCAAGGTGGGTGGATCATGAGGTCGAGTGTTCAAGACCAGCCTGGCTAAGATGGTGAAACCCCATCTCTACTAAAAATACAAAAATTAGCCAGGTGTGGTGGCAGGCACCTGTAATCCCAGCTACTTGGGAGGCTGAGGCAGGAGAATTGCTTGAACCTGGGCAGCAGAGATTGCGATGAGCCAAGATTATGCCACTGTACTCCAGCCTGGGCGACAGAGTGAGACTCTGTCTCAAAAAAACAGTAAATAAAAAACAAATAGAAAGATGGTAAATTTTATGTGTATTTCACTACAGTCTTTAAAAAAAAATCAACCTGTGTGGAATTTGTCATCTCCCAAGTGAGTGAATGAGTTATGACTGGAATTAAAATTCAAAATCCTCCAAAGCCTTTCTGCTTAGCACTGAGGAAGTGTGGACAAAGACCCGGGGACCACGTTGTGGCCATTTAACACAAAATAAGCAAACGGAAGTGGGTGAGGGGTGGCTAAAAGCTCAGTTGGGCCCTGGCTATGGGGCATCCCTCTTTCTCTGAGAAAGAAAGATGATAACTTCCTGTAGGGACTCCCCGTGTTAGTCAGAGCAACAGGAAGTTTCCTGGGCGGTGGACACCTAGTAACAGGCTCTCTCCGTTCTCTGCTGTCATCCAGGTTGCCTTTTTCCTCTACAATGGGGTGTCGCTAGGTCAGTTTGTACTGCAGGTAACTCATCCACGTTACTTGAAGAACTCGCTGGTTTACCACCCACAGCTGCGAGCACAGGCTTGGCGCTACCTGACATACATCTTCATGCATGCAGGGTGAGTACTTGTCTTCTTTTGCTCTGTCAAAAGATCCTGCAGAAAAATAAGTAGTTGAGATAGCCTGGATTGAAATACAGTTTTTGGATTATTTTTTATCTGCTTGGACACAGGATTTGAGATGGCTGCTTGACACTCATTTAATACCAAAATATACAGGTACATTATTGATAGTGAATGAGAAATGGAAAAATATATAAGAAGGAAAATGCTAAAAGCCAGCGGTGAGAGAGCACACACATACACAGTATGTGATTCTGTGTACTTGCTAGAGGTGTCTTGAAAATTTGTTCTCAGCTTCCTAGTGGCCAAAGCAAAAAGAGACATCAAGCCACCAGATTCATTGTCCATAATTGTGCGTGAGTTCCTCCCAGTGTGGTCTCCGTATGTATAGAGAGCCTTCTTGAGGAACTCTGGTGATTATTAGAGTTTCCATTTATAGAGCCCTGTAGCCTCTTTGGGGGCTGGAGCACAGTCAGTTCTCATTGGTGCCTCCCACTTCATGATAAGGAACTACCAGCTGGCCAGGTGACCACCCAGGTCCACGTCCTTTGAAAACCAGCAGGCTTTTATGGGGTGGAAGCACTGTGATGGGAGAGGAGAGACCCCAGACACCAGGCCTCTAGGTGTCTTCTGCAGCCTCTCCAGAGAAGTGAAGGAGCTCCCTGTTAGCCTGGGAAAGACCCTGGAGGTGCCTGGCCCTGGGGTGGGAACTGGGAAGGGGGCCACTCTGGCCCTAGTGACACCATCATTCCCATTGCTCAGCAGAAAGACCCACAATGGCCAAGAGGGAGTTGTCCTATGAGCCTCCATTCCCCAAGCCTCTTAAAGCAGGTGCAAGAGCTAATCCCGAATTGGCTGCACCTGTGGGGGAGGGTGCTTGCCGGTGAAGAGACCTGAATGAACGCCTCTGCTCGGGCTGAAGAGGATCATTGGTATAGGCTGCCTCCCTTGTCTGGTTTGCCCCGGGCTTTGATCTCACAGGGCTAACGAGCAGCAGGAGGGCTGTCAGGCTTCACTCACATCCACTCATGAGCCAGGGGTGACAACAGACACGAGGCTGCCCTGCCCAGGCAGCACAAGCCAATGGCTGCACATGGGTTCGGACTGTCTGCCTTCTTTCCAGGACTGCCCCCTGACCTCTCTTGGTGCCTCGGGGTGAGGAATGAGAATAACCAAAGCCTCCTTGCTCCATCCTCTGCCTCCTGGAGCCGAAAGCAGTGTGCTCACAGTGGACAGGGCTCAGATGCCCTCGGCTGCGGCCTAGAGGGCTGGCCTGGGCCTTTCTCCAGTAGTTGCTTTGATGGGGCAACGCCTGCCGGGAAGAGTCCTCGGAGGAGTCTCCAGGTCTGTGGATTTTGAGCAAGGGGCTCTTGCCTGGTGCAACAGAGATAGACACAGCAGTAGACAGGAGACAGGGACAGCTGGCCAGTGTCTAGGGAGGTCGCAGCAAAGTGACCTGTTGACCAGGCGTATTGGCTCACACCTGGAATCCCAGCATTTTGGGAGGCCAAGGTAGGAGGATCACTTGAGGCCAGGAGTCTGAGATCTGCATGGGCAACATAGTGAGATCCTCTCTCTACAAAAAATAAAAACACTTAGCCAAGTCAGGTGGAGCTTGGCTGTAGTCTCAGCTACTCCGGGGACTGAGGTGGGAGGATCACTTGAGCCCAGGAGGTCAAGGCTACATACAGTGAGCCGAGATTGCGCTGCTGCACTCCAGCCTGGGAAACAGAGTGAAACCCTGTCTCAAAAAAAAAAAAGCGACCTGTTACTCAGAGACATACTGTAGGCCTGGGAATCCAGAAGCCAGTGTGGTAAAGAAGAGCTCAGAAGGAGGCAGGAGCCTTGAGTTCCTCCCTGGCTGCTTCTAGCTTCAGGTTCTGAGACTGTAAAACAGGCCATGGTGCTGGAAAACCGGTAAGGCCCCTCCGCCTGTGAATCTAATGTTGTCACCAGCTCCCTTTCCAGTGACTTTTCCTGACACCTCTAATCTCCCTAAAATCCTTTAGCTAGCAATCAGTGGTGGGTAGAAGATTCTAGCATAGTAGAATCCAGGACACAGCCTAACATGTCTGCACTACCTTGCAGGTACAGTCCGGAGTAAGCAGGTGCCCAAGTGTTGCCCATGGTTTCTCTGGGCAGCACAGCTGGGCCTCCGGGCAGGGTCCTGCTTACCAGCAGCAAGATGGAGACCCAGGCAGGGCCCAGCCTCTCTGTTACAGGCTGTGTCACTTCCTGACAGATAGCATCTCCCGGGAGCTGCCCAGGGGCTGTCAGCTCAATGTAAATGAGACAGTGGGTGTTAAAGTGCTTTGTAAAGTTGAAAGCACCAGATTGACTTACTAATAGTCATGTTACAATCTTTTCTGGTAACATGCACACAGCTAGACACCCCACAATTTTAGCAGCAAGATCTAGTCACAGGTAGTATGGGAAAAAAGGCACTCACGGTGTCAGAAAGCCTGGGGTCCCATCTCCCAGTCCTGAGGGTTTTGGAGCAGAATAGGTCCTTCTCTTCTTCTTTTTTCTTTTCTTTGAGATAGAATCTCACTCTGTCACCCAGGCTGGAGTGCAATTGTGTAATCTTGGCTCACTGCAGCCTCCGCCTCCCAGATTCAAGCGTTTCTCCTGCGTCAACCTCCCAAGTGGCTGGGACTACAGGCGCACACCACGATGCCCGGCTAATTTTTGTAATTTTAGTAGATGACTGGCTAATTTTTGTATTTTGTATTTTTAGTAGTTCAAGGCCAGGCCGCCGCTGAACTCCTGACCTTGTGATCTGCCCACCTTGGCCTCCCAAAGTGCTGGGATTACAGGCGTGAGCCACCATGCCCAGCCAAGGTCTCTTCTTACAGCAGGAAAGAGAAACCTCCCTTATGAGACTCTAAGGGAAAACATTGAATTTTTAAGTTACAAGATGTATCTTTAATGCCTGAACTTGTTTTAAGAACATATTTTTCACCGGGCACGGGGGCTCAAGCCTGTAATCCCAGCACTTTGGGAGGCCGAGGCGGGTGGATCACGAGGTCAAGAGATCGAGACCATCCTGGTCAACATGGTGAAACCCCGTCTCTACTAAAAATAAAAAAGAATTAGCTGGGCATGGTGGCACGTGCCTGTAATCCCAGCTATTCAGGAGGCTGAGGCAGGAGAATTGCCTGAACCCAGGAGGCGGAGGTTGTGGTGAGCCGAGATTGCGCCATTGCACTCCAACCTGGGTAACAAGAGCGAAAACTCCGTCTCAAAAAAAAAAAAAAAGAACATATTTTTCTTTAAACATCCGTAGCTCTTACAAATAGAGCCAGAACATGGCCGGGAGCAATGGCTCATACCTGTAATCCCAACTGTAATCCTGTAATCTGAGGCAGGTGTATCACTTGAGGTCAGGAGTTCAAGACCAGCCTGGCCAACATGGTAAAACCCCATCTCTACTAAATATACAAAAGTTAGCTGGGTGTGGTGGCCCATGCCTGTAATCCCAACTATTTGGGAGGCTGAGACAGGAGAATTGCTTGAACCCGGGAGGCGGAGGTTAAAGTGAGCCGAGATCACTCCCCACTGCATTTCAGCCTGATTGACAGAGGAAGACTCCGTCTCAAGAACAAAAAGACAAAAAAACACACAGAGCTAGAATGACCACATGGCCCAGTGAATGGAGCAGATCAGGCAGATTAGAGACCTGGGCTGTGGTCCCAGCATAGCCACTAATTGTGGCTGGTCACTAGCTATCTGTGAGCCTTAGTTTTTCATGTGTTAACTGATGGAGTTGCTGGATCCTTTTTTTTTTTTTTTTTAAGAGATGGGGTCTCATTATGTTGCCCAGGCTGATCTTGAACTCGTGGATTCAAGTGATCCTCCCACCTCTCAAAGTGTTGGGCTTCCAGGCATGGGCCATTGTGCCCAGCCTAGTTGCTGGATCTTTACTGTGGTTAGTCTCTCACAGTGCCAAGTGAAATGCTGCCAGTCACCGCCCAGGCCCTGCACATGTGTTTCTGTCCCAGCTGGAAGGAATGCTCTTTCCAAGATGGTCTGTCTAAATTGGCATTCCTTCCCCCAGACCATGAGCTCCTCAGAGGCAGAGATGGTCTTGCTCACTGCTGGATTCCTGGCATCTTGGGGGATGCAGGTGTTTGTTGAATGAATGAATGAATGGATGGATGGATGGATAGATGAATGAGTGTGGTCTTTCTGTCACAGGATAGAACACCTGGGACTCAACGTGGTGCTGCAGCTGCTCGTGGGGGTGCCCCTGGAGATGGTACATGGAGCCACCCGAATTGGGCTTGTGTATGTGGCTGGCGTTGTGGCAGGTAGGCCCCGTGTCCACAGAGGCACACCGCCCCAGGGTGGGCTGGGAGACCCTGTGGGGCAGGGCAAGCCCCAGGCTTCCGGGACACACAGAAGATCCTCATCTCCAAGGCTCCTGACTTACCGGGCTGTCCTCCAGGCACACCCACCTCCCCAGGAGGCTGGAGAGGGGACTGTTGCCCAGAGAGGGAGGTGTGTAGCAGGACGGGGGAGGAGAGCACTGGATTTGGGGCAGGCTGGCCAACCGACTGTCAGTCTGACATCACCTTGCAGTAGCTCTGTGAGCTTGGGGAAGTTTCCTAACCTCTTTTGGCCATGCTAAGCTTAAAGAGGGAACTAATGAGATCTGCCTGTAGGGTTGCTAGGAGGGTGGAGTGAGTGAGGCAACAAATGGAATGGCAGTGCTCCAAAAACCGGAAGGACACAGTGAGATCCCCACAGGGGAACCAAAGGGTGAGTGGAGCCAGGCACTGCCCTGGCCACGTAGCACCTGTCCCCAAAAGGAGAGCTGGCCGCTACCCAGACCAACCGCAGTCCCCTTGCCTGACCCACTGCTGACCGGGAGTCTGGCCTAAGAGGCAGTGAGCCCTTGCTCCATCCGAAGGCGTCTGGGTCTCCAGCTGACTCGGCACACATGTGGCTGTGGCGGGTGATCATCCCTCATGGATAGTGGCCAGAGTGAGCTTTCCACCTTCTGCCCTCTCCCTAGTGGGAGGTGAGGCGGGTGAAGTGAGCTGAGGAGAGCGTGGATTTCTGCAGGAAGAGTCTGCCAGCCAGGCCTCTGAACATGAGGATCTCCCTCGTGATGTCTCTAACTTTATTGCCGGCAGTTTTTTGTTTTTTTTTTTTTTTAACAAGGTTTGCCGCCTCAGCTCTTCAGCTTGACAGCTGTGCCCAAGGGAGCTTTGTGTGTATGTTTAAGTAAGATCTTAATCCTTTCTGAGTGGCATTAAAGTTGTCATCAGGAGAGCTGGGCAGCATCAGCCTTGTAAACAACAGGCAGGCGGGGACCCTGGGAGTAACTGAAGTAGCTTCAGAAATCAAAGAGGAAGGGTCCCAACCCACCCACATGAGGCTGGTCTGCTAGTTCATGAACCCTTGGCCTGGTAGACTCACCCAGCACCATTTCCTTCCCTCCTGTATGGGCTGAGGTTAAAAACATTGGCCACCTTGGACAGCGCCCATGCAAGTCCCTCCCGGAATCCAGTGCTCACCGTGTCCTTGAACAAAGGGCTGATGAGCATCTCTTTAAGTGCCAGAGTTGTTCAGCCACCCACACACCCCCTAATCCTGACATCTGGGGATTTATAGCTCCATTTTCCATACCTCAGTACCCAGAGACCCAGATGTTAAATGGCGAGGAGCAGGGAAGACACTTATAACATTTGCAGTTAGTATTCAATTAGATGGGAGTACCAATCACCTAGAAGACAAAAATGAGATTCAAAAGGACTCGGACCTCACCCAAACCAGGTGACGCACAGTGGGGAGACAGTATAGGTGTCCCCTCCCCAGTGACACCAGTGCAGAGTGGGAAGATTCAGACAGAAGCAGAGCTCATCTGCTGAATGTGAGTGTGTAGAGCTGCATCATTGAGCACATGGCGTGCACTGTTCTCTCTGAGTCATTGATTAAGACCAGAGGGCACTCTGGTCACCACATATGTCATTGATCTCCATGATTGAGTTGATTGATCTACCTCTGCTGTTTGCCCTTTCCTCCCCTCCCAAGCTCTCCTCTCAGAGAGGTGCCGGTTTACAGCCAGCCTGCCCTGGACTGAACCGGTGGCAGTTATCAGTGCCTGCCATATGCAGGCCATATTTTATCCACACAGCACCACCACGAGGTGGGCACTGTTGCTCTCTCCCAGCACAAATACGGAAACCAAGGCTTAGAGGGCTAAGTGACTCGCCCAAAAGACACAGCTAGAAAGTAGTAGAGCTGGGTGCACGCCCAGGCTGTTTGACCCCCAAGGCTGTACTCTGAGCCACTACAACAGTGTGACGAGAACCAAATGGTGGGCCTTGTCCTTTTTGCAGATAATTTATTGTCAGAAACTAAGGCAGACCAGGTGCAGTGGCTCATACCTGTAATTCCAACACTTTTGGAGGTCAAGACAGGAGGATCGCTTGAGCCCGGGAGTTCGAGACCAGCCTGGGCAACATAGGGAGATTCTGTCACTATAAAAAAAATTTTTTTTAATTAGCCAGGCATGTTGGCATGGGCCTGTAGTCCCAGCTACTTGGGAGGCTGATGCAGGAGGATCGCTTGAGCCCAGAAATTCAAGGCTGCAGTGAGCTGTGATAACACCACTGTACCCCAGCCTGGGTGACAGAGCAAGACCCTGTCTCAAAAAAAAAAAAAAAAAGAAAGAAAGAAAAAGCCAAAGGAGACCTTAATAGATGTCCGGCAGCCTTACTCTGTAATTCCTGCCCAATGAAAGCATTCCAAACCCACACTTTGTAACTAGGATAGCTAACTTTTATGGAGCATATACGTGCTCCGAGCACATGATAAAGGGTTTATGGATGTTTGTGGACGCTATACTCATCACGACTGTCCTATGTGGTGGGTACTGTCATTCCCATTTTACAGGCAGCTCAGAGAGTTGAAATGACTTGCAGATTTGCTCACCTGAGAAGTACTAGGACTGGGGTGGAGCCCTTCCCAAGCCCTGGGCTTCTAACTAATGCTTGAGGCCAATGTGCAAATCACTTATGGCTAGCAATTGTATGGCACACAATATAGGTATTTTAGAAACCAGTATCTTGGGCTGGGCAAAGTGGCTCACGCCTGTAATCCCAGCACTTTGGTAGGCCGAGGTGGGCGGATCACCAGGTCAAGAAATCAAGACCATCCTGGCCAACATGGTGAAACCCCATTTCTAAGAAAATAAATACAAAAAATTAGCTAGTTGTGGTGGCATGTGCCTGTGGTCCCAGCTACTTGGGAGGCTGAGATGGAAGAATCACTTGAACCGGGAGCTGGAGGTTGCAGTGAGCAGAGACTGCACCACTGCACTCCGGCCTGGTGTCATAGAGAGACTCTGTCTCAAAAAAAAATTAAATAAAGATTATATAGATTATTAACAACCATGTGTGCATCCCCCAGAGCCTAGCTCAGGGCTTAGCACATGTCAGGCAATAAATATTTATAGAAAAAAGGAAAGCCTGGGCAATAAGAGTGAAATTCCAGCTCAAAAAAATAAAGAAAGTTGCCTATAGCCATTACTGGATAGTTAATTAAAATAAATAAATAAATAAATAATAAAGGAAAGAATATGTAAATAAAGTCACATTGCTTAAAGATAAATGTTCTGCCAATATTTTTTTTTTTTTTTTTGAGACGGGGAGTTTCGCTCTTGTTACCCAGGCTGGAGTGCAATGGCGCGATCTTGGCTCACCGCAACCTCCGCCTCCCGGGCTCAGGCAATTCTCCTGCCTCAGCCTCCTGAGTAGCTGGGATTACAGGCACGCGCCACCATGCCCAGCTAATTTTTTGTATTTTTAGTAGAGACGGGGTTTCACTATGTTGACCAGGATGGTCTCGATCTCTTGACCTCGTGATCCACCCGCCTCGGCCTCCCAAAGTGCTGGGATTACAGGCTTGAGCCACCGCGCCCGGCCCTGTTCTGCCAATTTTTATTTGGATTTTTTTTTAAGGCCAAAGGAGATGTTGAAGGACACCTGCTTTAAAATTTTCTGGGCTATAGCCGGGCGCAGTGGCTCATGCCTGTAATCCCAGCACTTTGGGAGGTTTGAGGCGGGTGGATCACCTGAGGTCAGGAGTTTGAAACCAGCCTGGCCAACGTGGTGAAACCTCGCCTCTACTAAAAAAAAAAAAAAAAAAAGGCCAGGCGCGGTAGCTCACGTCTTTAATCTCAGCACTTTGGGAGGCTGAGGCGGGTGATCACAAGGTCAGGAGCTCGAGACCAGCCTGGCCAGTATGGTGAAACCTTATATCTACCAAAAATACAAAAATTAGCAGGGTGTGATGGCACATGCCTGTAGTTCCAGCTGCTCAGGAGGCTAAAACAGGAGAATCGCTTGAACCTGGGAGGTGGAGATTGCAGTGAGCTGAGATCACATCACTGTACTCTAGCCTGGGTGATAGAGCAAGACTCTGTCTCAAAAAAAAAAAAAAAAAAAAATTCCAGGCTAAAATTATCATAGCTATACATTATGGCAAAGTTGCCAATTTATCTGTATGCTGGCATGGACTTGGAATTTTGTGGTGGTGGATACAGAATTCGTAATCCTGATGAGAACTAAATCCCACGGTTTGCCTCTGTGCAGAGGTATGATGTGTCACTCCAGTTTGCCATATTCTTTTGGTCCTTTGCCCCCAGTGACTTCTGTGGAATTCATACTGGCCCTATCTGCCCATACCTGTTAGGATAGTTAAGAGCTTGTAGAGGATTCCCCCTGGCCCACACTTCCTGCCCAGGGAGGGTCTTTGTTACTGTGCTTGTGTGTACACAGCCCCATGTTTGTCTATGGTCTCTCCCAGTTGCTCTAGTCCAGGGATCACCTGCAGTCACTTGAAGAAAGACTTTGCTCTTTTGGGGGGTTTAGGGTTTTTTTGAGACAAAGTCTCACTCTGTCACCCAGGTCGGAGTGCAGTGGCATGATCTTGGCTCACTGCAGCCTCCACCTCCCAGGTTCAAGCGATTCTCGTGCTTCATCCTTTCCAGTAGCTGGGGCTGCATGTGTGCACCACCATATCCAACTAATTTTTGTATTTTTTTAATAGAGATGGGGTTTCACCATGTTGGCCAGGTTGGTCTCGAACTCCTGATCTCAGGTGAGCCACCTCCCTCAGCCTCCCAAAGTGCTGGGATTACAGGGGTGAGCCACCGCACCTGGCCTGAAAGTCTTTATATCACCAGTGGAGGGCAGGTGGGTTCAGGCCATTATCTTCAAGGTTCCAGAATCAGGATCCAAGCCTCGGACTCTGGGTCTCAAGCCAAGACTCAGGTCACTGAATTTCTGATCTGGAAGGAACCAGGGAGGATCCCCTCCAGCGGTGGCAAACCGTTCCCCAGGCACCATCCCTGCTTAGTCAGAGCTGCTGCTTGTGCTCTCCATGGGTTAGGGCGTCCTGCAAAAGTTTCCTTTGAAAAGAAAGTTTTGGGCCGGGCACGGTGGCTCACGTCTGCGATGCCAGCACTTTGGGAGGCTGAGGTGGGCAGATCACCTGAGGTCAGGCATTCGAGACCAGCCTAATATGGTGAAACCCTGTCTCTACTAAAAGTACAAAAATTAGCTGGGTGTAGTGGCACATGCCTGTAATCTCAGCTACTCAAGAGGATGAGGCAGGAGAATTGCTTTGAACCTGGGAGGCGGAGGTCGCGGTGAGCTGAGATCACGCCATTGCATTTCAGCCTGGGCGACAGAGTGAGACTCCATCTCAGGGAAAAAAAAAAAAAAAAAAAAGAAAAGAGTTTTGCTGCTCAAAAGTTGGAAAGCCTTGGAACTCATTTTACAGACATGGAAGAAAACTGAAGCCCAAAGAATTCAGGGACTGTGCCCAAGGTCACACAGCTAGCCGGCCAGGCCCCTTCCATACTCCTGCCGCAATCCCAAGCTGACCCCTCACCCTAGGGTCAGGACTCTGAGCTGTGGCTAGGGTGAGGGAAAGGTCAGTGTATGCCGGCTTGACCCTGGCAGGGGCCCTTCCCTGCCTAGGGCTGCCCTGAGGCCGCTCTGCCTTGGTGGACTGTGCTGGGGCAAGGGTGAGGGAGTGGACTCTGGGCCGGTTTGTACAGATCTGCTCTGAGATGAGAGGCCAGACTAGGGAGGCTAGGGCTTCCTCTGTCCAAAGGGTAATTAATGAGGAGCAGCTTGGGCAGCCAGCCCTCCTCGCAGCCGGGCAATGCAGCCTCCGCAGACTACCCCGCCAGGAGAGCGTGGGAAACCTTTGTCATGCAGATCCTGCTGCCTGTTTGTTTGCCACCCTGGGATTTTTCTTTCCTGTTATATATGGCTGACCCTGTGGCTAGGCAGTAAAAAAAGCAAAAGCAAAAGAAAGTTATCTGACAATAGATCAATACCTAATTAAAGCCAGAGGGAAGGCATGAAAGATTTATAGTTGCCCTGGGAGGGGAGGAGGACTTGGGAGTCCTCAGTTCATGACAGGTTTTTTTTTTTTTTCCTGAGAGATTATATCCCCCATGAGACCAAGAACTGGTTGTGGGGAATCTCTTTCTTGAAGGATCTTAGTGCGTGGGGAGGCCTTGAAAGAGGTGGGGGCAGGGGAGGTGGAGGAGTTGATCAGGGGCTCTGCTGCCAGGTTCTTGGTGCTCTGGTTGTGGGGCTGGGCCCAGCCTCCTCCTAAGTCATGGATCTTGCACCCCATAGAGCCTGCAGAATTTGGCTTTCTGCCTGTCCCTCCTCTCTCCAGCAGGTAATTGGCTCTTGAGCCCTCGGGCATTTTTCAGTGGTAATTTCTGCACACTCACCCAGGCCAGCCACCTCTCATCCTCTGAGCCCTGGGCTCTACCTCCTAGTTATTTTTAGTCTCCCATGTCCTACCCTGGAAGCCAAAGCATTGATCACACTTAAATGAGACCAGAACAATAAATTTCCCATCTTCTCTTTGCCCAGCTTCCCTCGCAGGACAAAAGTTTGTCATCCACCAGGCCAAGCCTCGCCTACCCTTTCTTTCCCCCAGAGGGTATGACGTCATCTCTTCTCTTCCTGTGACTCTTCAAGGACATGTTTCCTCCAAAGGAGCCCCACTCAAGACATGCTGTTGGCCTTTTGTGATTTAGCCAGGCTGGAGGAAGGGTGGAAGTAACCCTAAGCAGTTTTCTAGATGCTGTTGATCAGAGGGAGCAATGGTAGAGGGTGGAGGTTAACAACCTCTGGGCCAGTTTGGGGCGTGGCTGCTAGAGAGGCCAAGAGCACGGTTTTGGTCAAGAACACAGGTTATGCATCAGGCAGACCCAGAAGCAAATCCTGGTTCCAGCACTTCCTACCAGAAGACTCTGGGCTCAGTCTCCTCCTCTCTGCAATGAGGCTACTGTTGCTTGCCTCAGTCTCCCTATGTTGCCTAGGCTGGTCTCAAATTCCTGGACTCAAGCAATCCTCTTGCCTCAGCCTCCCAAAGTTCTGGTATTACAGGTGTGAGCCACAGCGCCCTGCCTTCACCATCACAAGGCTGTCTTGAGGGCTGAAGGGAAGAAAGTCTATAAAATATTTGCCTGGGGGGCCGGGCTCGGTGGCTCAAGCCTGTAATCCCAGCACTTTGGGAGGCCGAGGCGGGTGGATCACGAGGTCGAGAGATCGAGACCATCCTGGTCAACATAGTGAAACCCCGTCTCTACTAAAAATACAAAAAATTAGCTGGGCATGGTGGCGCGTGCCTGTAATCCCAGCTACTCAGGAGGCTGAGGCAGGAGAATTGCCTGAACCCAGGAGGCGTAGGTTGCGGTGAGCCAAGATCGTGCCATTGCACTCCAGCCTGGTAACGAGTGAAACTCCGTCTCAAAAAAAAAAAAAAAAAAAATATTTGCCTGGTATCCATGCCACCTAAGTGGCAGCCGTTTCTGCGATAACTACTGCTACTATTTTTGTTATGGTTCCAGAACCCCAACGTAGCCCCTTGTCAGGCAGAGGTTGGGTTGAGAGGCAGATAATCCAAGTAGAAGTCTTTAAGTTTCACTTTGGGCAAGATACTTCCCTCTTTGAGTCAAAGAATCAAATGGTTCTTTCAGCCAGAAATGAATCCTCTAAGAAATGCATAGGAGGCCGGGCGCAGTGGCTCACACCTGTAATACCAGAACTTTGGGAGGCTGAGGCAAGAGGATTGCTTGAGTTCGGGAATTTGAGACCAGCCTAGGCAACATAGGGAGACTCTGTCTTCATAAAGAAAAATACAAAAATTAGCTGGGCATGGTGGTGCAAGCCTGTAGTTCCAGGTACTTGGGAAGCTGAGGCAGGAGGATCACTTGAGCGTGGAGGTAAAGGCTGTAGTCAGCCGATCATGCCACTGCACTCCAGCCTGGGTGACAGACCCCGTCTCCAAAAAAGAAAAAAAAAATCAACAACAAACAGAAATGCATAGGAAGCTCCCAGGCAACATGGACTCAAAGGAGGAAGAGATGGAGCCTCTTGCTCTGGAGTTTTAGTGCTGAACCTGCAGAATCCAAGGCCTGGGGCTGGGGTGGGCAAGCCGAGTCCCGCATTCCTGAGAATTCTCGCTGTCTTTCTGTACTAGGGTCCTTGGCAGTGTCTGTGGCTGACATGACCGCCCCAGTCGTGGGCTCTTCTGGAGGGGTGTATGCTCTCGTCTCTGCTCATCTGGCCAACATCGTCATGGTGAGCACCTCCCATTCTCAGTGTGTCTTTCTGGCCCTGTTCTCTGCCATCACTGGGACTGAGTATTAATCCACTGGAGCTGGCTCAGCCCAGGCCCAACAAACGCCAGGCAGACCTGACCTCTAGCAGAGTTCTCGGGCACTCCTCACCCCCTGCAGGCCCATTTCAAATGGGTGCCTTCCGGATGCGATTCCTATTTTCTCCAGTTGTGGCTTGGCCTGGGACAGTGCCCATCTCCCTCTTCTGCCCTTTTCCCATTCACTGATGTTAAAGAGTTAACATTTGGCTGCTAGCATGCATAGCCATTGGAATTGCTTATTTATCATAGATTGTTAAAAGTAAAAGGGCTTAGAGGTTATCTCATCAAAATTCTCAAATAGGAAAGGAGGCTGTGAGAGGTTAAGTGACTTATCCAAAGTCACAGTCAAGTTTGTGGCAAAATGAAGTCTTGAACCCATATCTCCTGACAACCATTCAAGAGTTGTTCCCCATCCCAGCCTGTCATTGGAGCAGGACCCACTCCATTTCTCACCTTCTGCCTTTTCCTGAAAGGCAATACAGTGTGATGGTGAAGAGCATGGGCTGTGGAGCCAGTCAGCCTAGGTCTGAATCCCTGCTACGACCTGGGCAAATTGCTTAACTGCTTTGCACCTCACTTTCTACATCTGTGAAATGGAATGGGAGCTGGTCGTGGTGGCCCAGGCCTATAATCCCAGTTTAAGCCTCAGGTAGACAGATCACCTTGAGCTCAGGAGTTCAAGACCAGCCTAGGTAACATCTCTATAAAAAATACAAAAATTGGCCAGGCTCGGTGGCTCATGCTTATAATCACAGCACTTTGGGTGGCTAAGGCAGGCAGATCATGAGTTCAGGGGTTCAAGACCAGACTGGCCAACACAGTGAAACCTTGTCTCTGCTAAAAACACAAATATTAGCCGAGCATGCTGGCAGGTGCCTGTAATCCCAGCTACTAGGGAGGCTGAGGCGGGAGAATCGCTTGAACTGTGGAGGTAGAGGCTGTGGTGAGCCGAGATCACACCACTGCAGTCTAGCCTGGGTGACAGCGAGACTCTGTCTCAAAAAAAAAAATAAATAAATAGCAGGGCAAAGTGGCATGTGCCTATAGTCTCAGCTACTCCAGAGGCTGTGGCTAGAGAATCACTTGAGCCTGAGAAGCAGAGGTTACAGTGAGCAGAGATTGAACCACTGCACACCAGCCTGGGCAACAGAGTGAGGCCCTGTCTCAATTTAAAAAAAAAGAAGGCGGGGCACGGTGGCTCACGCCTGTAATCCCAGCACTTTGGGAGGCCGAGATGGGTGGATCACAGGATCAGGAATTTGAGACCAGCCTGGCCAACATGGTGAAACCCCATCTCAACTAAAAATACAAAAATTAGCCAGGTGTGGTAGCACATGCCTGTAGTCCCAGCTACTTGGGAGGCTGAGGCAGGAGAATCCCTTGAACCTGGGAGGCAGAGGTTGCAGTGAGCCGAGATTACACCACCGCACTCCAGCCTGGGTGACAGAAAGAGACTCTGTCTCCAAAAAAAAAAAAAAAGAAGAAAAAAAAATGGAATGACATGCAGTAAATGAGATAAAGTGCAAATAACCACCTATATAAACTTAATTCCCTTCTCCTGACGGAATAGGCCAGGATGGGCTCAGACTAGACAAAGCCTTGAAGGCCAGAAATTGGGTTGCATCTGATGGTCTTAGAGGATGTCAAAGTCCTTTTTTTGGAGGCAGTCTGAAGTCTGAAGGTGATGGAGGAGTCAGTGGCTAACGCTGCCTGATCCTTCTCTGGCCAGCGAGCCTCCAGGTCTTACTTGTCTGTTTCCCCAGTACCTGGTGTACAGCTGGGTGCGTGGTAGATGGTGCCTGCTAGATTTTAGTGAATGAAGAAAGAAACGAACAACGTCCAGAAAAAGGCATAGCTTCTCTTTGGGGTCCTCCTGTTCTCACCCACTCCCCCATCAGTGTCTTCGCCCACGTGGCAGATGTTTGAATGCTCAGTGATTGCAGTGCGCAGGGCTTGGAGTTCCTGAATTCTCCCATGTTTTTCTTCCTTATCAGTCTCACTGTCGCCCACCCTGCTCCCAACCTCATCCCTTTTGTTCTCATCAAAATGCCCTTTGTACATTGAGTGAGCGAAGAGAGAGCACAAGAGGGAGGGGGGAAGGAAAGGAAAAGATGGGGAGAGACAGACGGATACTGAGCACCTGCCTACATTTGCTACTGGCCTGAATTTTGACACCTTCAGGTGAGTGCTCTGAGAGAGGCTGCGGGTGCTGGGAAACGTGGAGCGGTGAGCGTCTCGGTGTGTGTGCAGGTGTGTTCACTCATGCACGCAGCTCAGTGTGTTGAAAACCCGAGCGCATGGGCTGCCTCCCATGGCCCTTTTAAATGGGTCATTCTGTATCAGTGCCACATCTTTCCCCAGACACAGCTTTTCCTCTGAATTCTGCCTCCTCCACTCCCCCCTCCCCCTGCCCCAATTCCTTTCAGTAGGGGAAGGAAATGCTAACCTCCTCCCTCCCATTCCGCCCAAGACTTGTATGTGTGTAGGGGTGATGAACAAGCTCAACTGAAAGAGAACATGGGGAGGAAGAAACAGGCTGGAGTTCATAACAACGCCCTGTTCCCACCCTCTTCCCCACCTCATGGGAAACAACCCTGATAGCACAGAAGTTCCCACGGTGAAGGCAGACCACCCAAGGACCATGGGGTAGGGCATGGGGGTTGACAGAGGTGTGAGAGCAGTTTTGTTCCAGTGGACGCTTCTCTCTGGTGAGTAGCTCATGGCCTGCAGCTCTGGAGATGAGCAGCCCCATCTGAGAGACCAATGCCTTCCAGAAGCAAATGGCTTTCTCTGGCCACATGGGAGCTGTGCAGTCTCCAGAGCATGACACATGGAGAGACCTTCTCTAGAAAGTTGTGTGGGCCAGGCGCAGTGGCTCACACCTGTAATCCCAGCACTTTGGGAGGCCCACACAGGCAGATGTCTTGAGCCTAGGAGTTGAAGACCAGCCTGGGCAACATCTCTACCCATCTCTACCAAACACACAGAAGATTATCCTGGTGTGTGGTGTCATGCATCTATGGTTCCAGCTACTCTGGAGGCTGAGGTGAAAGGATCACCTGAGCCAGAAAGGCAGCGAGTGAGTGAGCTAAGATTGCATCACCGCACCCCACCCAGGGCAAAAGAGTGAAACCCTGTCTCAAAAGAAAAAGAAAGTTACATGATGTCAATTGACAGTGAAAGAAAACTCATTGTCTCATTAAAAACGTTGGTTTCTAAGCTGGGCACAGTGGCTCACGCTGGTAATCTCAGCACTTTGGGAGGCCAAGGTGGGTGGATCACGAGGTCAGGAGTTCAAGACCAGCCTGGCCAAGATGGTGAAACCCCATCTCTACTAAAAAAAAAAAAAGAAAAATTAGCCAGGCATGGTGGCATGTGTCTGTAATTCCAGCTACTCCAGAGGCTGAGACAGAAAATTGCCTAAACCTGGGAGGTTGCAGTGAGCCGAGACATGCCACTGCACTCCAGCCTGGGCAACAGAGCAAGACTCCGTCTCAGGAAAAAAAAAAAAAAAAAAAAAAAAAAAAAGTTGATTTCTCTTTGTCAAGAGGCTACCTTTATCCAAATTAGTTCAGTGCCAAGCAATTCAGAGATGTGTTGGGTCAGCCGTATGAAATTGCCCTTTCCATGGGCCATCAGCATTTGAATATTGGCAATTTCATATGGTTCCACCTAATAGATATACTATTGTTTTCAGCTTCAAAATGAGGATTTGGAGTGTGTGTGTGTTATACACAGTAATCTACCTCATCAGAACAAAATGTAGAAAAAGCATGGACTTCACAGAAAATCTGCATTTGAGTACCACTGTCAGCATCTTAATAGCTATGAGTTTATTACTCAGCTTATTGGAGACTCAGTTGTCTCATCTGTAATCCTATCTTCACAGAGGAGTTGTTTGGGAGATGAGAAAATGGACAAAATACTTCAGAAAAAGATCTGAAATGCAAAAAGCCCTATGATTAATATATTTTTTTTTTTTTGAGACAGGGTTTTGCTCTGTCACCCAGGCTAGAGTGCAGTGGCACTATCTTGGCTCACTGCAACCACCACCTCCTGGGCTCAAGCGATCCTCCTGCCTCAGCCCCCTGAGTAGCTGGGACCACGGGCTCATGCCACCATGCCTGGCTAATTTTTTGTATTATTATTATTATTATTATTATTATTATTATTGAGATGGAGTTTCGCTCTTGTTACCCAGGCTGGAGTGCAATGATGCGAGCTCGGCTCACTGCAATGCTCCACCTCCTGGGTTCAAGCAATTCTCCTGCCTCAGCCTCCTGAGTAGCTGGGACTACAGGCGTGCGCCGCCATGCCCAGCTAATTTTTGTATTTTTAGTAGAGATGGGGTTTCACCATGTTGACTAGAATGGTCTCGATCTCCTGACCTTGTGATCCACCTGCCTCAGCCTCCCAAAGTGCTGGGATTACAGGCATGAGCCACTGCGCCCGGCCTTACTATTTTTTTTTGTAGAGACGGGGTTTCACCATGTTGCCCAGGCTGGTCTCAAACTCCTGAATTCAAGTGATCCACCCGCCTTAGCCTCCCAAAGTGCTGGGATTACAGGCATGAGCCACTGCACCCTGCCATGACTTCTGATTTTAAGATGGAGTCTCGCTCTGTCACTGGAGTGCAGTGGCACAATCTCGGCTCACTGCAAAATCCACCTCCCGGGTTCAAGTGATTCTTGTGCCTCAGCCTCCCGAGTAGCTGGGACTACAGGTGCATGTCTCTACACCCAGCTAATGTTTGTAATTTTAGTAGAGATGGGTTTTACCACGTTGGGCAGGATCTCCTGACCTCTAGATCTGCCTGCCTCGGCCTCCCAAAGTGCTGGGATTATAGGCGTGAGCCTCTGCGGCTGGCCAACTTTTTATTTTAAACACGAGAGATATACAGATACACCTAATTGAATAATTT